GAACGTGAAACTGAAATGGAGGTCAAAAGGGATCATCTTCATAATATCTAATTGAAGGACAGGTCACAAGAAAAGTAGAAATATATCAATTGAAATGAAGCACTATTATAGATAAATGTTAGCGATAGATTTTTTTTTAGAGCTGTCAATATTTTAGCTGTAGTTTCAATATTTATAGTTCAAATCAGTAATCAACCATGATCTATAGAAAATCTCAAACCAACACTTGTACTGACTCATCGAAGGAGCATTGTTTCAATCCAAAACTGATTTATCATTACGAGAGATCCTCTCATATATTGCGCGTTGAAATTCAATATGAATCTTGGCGCAGTAGAATCAAATTGTTTGATTAAAGCCGATCATAGATTTTGCTTCATTCCTTGTTATTCAGTTTACTTTAAGTTCTAGAACATTCTATTTTACTAGCTGAAAAAAACAGTGCATACACAATGTACATTATGCAAAAACATAAAAATACACGAAAAAGAAAACTAGCTGTCGAAAGTCTTCATTGATTTTTAGTAAAAGCCGAGGTTCATTGGCAGATTGCTGTGTATACAAACACTTGATCTATACCATTATTCTAGTAAGAAAAGAAAATAATTTAAATTAAATGCTTCTTAATACTGCGACCTTGGAGCTATAAACATATAGTTCAATTTTATGTCTGATCTCCATAGGTTAGAAAAACTATTCACAAATTAAAAGTTGATTAAATATACTTCACACTATGTGTCTGAACTATTTCGAGGCAAATAAAGGACCAATACTTTCTTTTTTATCAGAATCATCAATTCGATCAACTTTTCAATGCGATGTAGTTTCAGAGTCTAAAAAGGTCAATGTAATATTAGTACCTTTCTGATGGAAATACAAAGTATATTAAATATGAAAGCTTCGATTTCTTTCAATCAAACAATATCAAATAAAATAAGTTAAATTCAACTGTTCTTTGATCTTACAAATGGCAGACATTCAGAAATTTATCATGAGTAGAATAAAAGAGCAATATTTTTGAACACAATCACTGTTTTTGATAATAAGACGGTGCTCGATTGATTAATTGTTTTTTTAAACACGACAACATTTAGAAGATAAATATATGGATAAGAATATATAGAACTAATAATTAGAGTCTAGATTTTCTGTCTATTATAGTTCGCAGCAGGATTTCGCTCACTTTGAGCTACTGATTATCCAATATTGGTTTCGACGATGTTTTTTATTGGTCGCACGCTTATGTTCACACTTCCATCTGTGTAGACTGTCGTAAGGAATCTTCGTGTCGATAGAATACGTTGCAGAAGAAGTGATCTGAGTTCATGTCGAAAAGTTTTCGATATCATGAGATTAGTGTAGAGGGATGCCGATGTACTAAAATATATAAAAAATGGAGAAACCAAATCAGTCAAAAAGTTGTTTAATTGAATCTGTTGTAGAGTCTTATTCCATTTGAATGTTATTGAACTGTATATATTACTGATTAGTGGTGGTATATTCGATAAGCAATAGATAACAACATCCACTAAAAGCATTTTCAACAACTGATAATCGTGATGCTTGATTCGAACACCCATCTGTCTAGCGGCTAGAGAACGACTAATATTAACATTTTCTGTGTTCATAGTAGTCTGTCGAGTATGCTTTTGTATTTGTCGCAGATTTTTGACAGCAAGTATGCTGAATACAATCATTATGACAGATGGCAACACTGCTCCAACAAGTACAGAACAGCCAGCACTAAAGTACAGATATACCTCAGGAACAGTGCATCGACCATTGTTGATTATATAGAAAACAAGAACATGAATCGATATAAGAATCCATTAGTCGACAATGATTGCGATGACATAAGCGGCAGTGCGTAGTTGGCTAAAATTTCGAATGCATATATTGTGTGAACACATTGCATAACGATCGACACAGGCAAATGCAAGAATAAATCGAGCCAAAGATGATGACAGAAAATATGTACGAAACTTACAGTATGGTATAATGTATGTCGTTAGATCCTTGTAGTAGACAGAATACAAACTTGTGCCTATCCCAAAATCAAGAAACAGAAGGTATGCAACAGACGCAGCAACAAAATACATGCTGCAACTATTGGAACGTAGTGTCTTTTGCAGAAAGACTAGGCAATTGAAAACATTTCCAGCAGTTCCGAAAATGAGAAATATCGGCATCGAAATCAAACTCATTTTTCGTTGAATGACAACGAGTGTTGGAACAAATACTGCTGTAGAATTGGACATTGTATGAGTTAATTCGTGAATTATATATAATGTGTAAATTCAAAAGTGTGCAAAACCGAGAAAATATTTCATTACTTTTTGCATTTGGATAATTTTTTTCTTTTCTGACAAACGTCAATACCAGTCTTCTCCAATCACGGAATATATATATTTTTTAGATAACATTTAGACATTTAGATCACTACTGGTTGAGCGAGAAATCACAAAACAAAAATTTTCTGTGATAACATCTTTTTGCTAAAGTTTCTTCATAATTCAACTTCAAATATAAACAGAAAACACGAACAAACCCCAATTTGAAAGGTAAGGCTAAGATCTATTCTCAATACGCACCAATATATCGTTGATCTCAGTACTCTTGGGTTTGAGTGCATTGATTGTTTTCAATGCGTATTTCCAAGTCAAAGCGTTATTTAGAAAAATATCGTTCCAATACGTCTGTAAAAACAACCGTTTTTCTAAAACAAAATGCTATCAAGAAGCTTGATTTAAGAGGACTTTCTTTCAATGTGTTCTTTTTTTATCGAAAATATGATTTTTTCACGAACAACCTAAAACAGTGCTTTTTTTTAATTAATGTTTTTTCACGAAAAACGTGTTTTATCACAGTAAGATTTTCTTTTATCCAAACGTTTATTTTGTTAAACAAGACATAATAAAATTGAAAATAAAACCATTTTGATAGATCGTTTCTTTTATTTCAACGCAACAAAGCTATACAAGCAAAGTAACATAAAAGAGCATTCATTGGAAAATTTAACAGTTATATCGACGTGATATAAATTTTCGAAGAACAAGAATGAATATTACTGTGCAGAAAAATTTCCGAAACTTGAAAATGATAAAAAAAAGCTAAAAGAAAAGGTATTCTTGCTAGTTTATTCTATGGAACCAAATAATAAAAAGCTTGACTTTTCAAGTTGTTACTGGATTTTCTTCAAAGTCAGAAAAAAGTTTTGTTTTAGTGTATTATCGATTCAAATTAAGGTCAAAAAGTGAAAGAATAAACAAACAGTGCTTGTTTTGTTATTGCTTCATTGCCTGCTCTATTTTTGAAATATTATTTGGGTCGATCATTTTCAATCGTATATGGTTGTGTATCGATCGATGATAGAGACAAACAGCGAACGTTTCTTGAAGTCATGTATGTCGCCATAAACGAAGATTCACGGTAGATTATGCCCGCCGTAAACAATGCTTTATGATGTAGTACGAACATCGTAAATAATGACCATTGAAAATTGCCGTTAACGATTCGTGTAACAATACGGTGACTGTAAACACTCATCGGATAGTATCGTAAGGGATCGTATGCATTAGCTATAAACAATTCAATAGCGGATTACTAATTGATCTCGTACCTTATCGTAAACAGCTGTTCACGTTGGCGAACTGCTTGTATTGAATGTAAGCATCATGTGCTCCTGACCAATTAAAGACGTCGCTGCATAATAATGCATGTATATCAACTAATTAGTGAGACAGTCGTGAATTGTGGTTCATGCAATATTTTTATAGTCCTTACCATTTTTAGAACTGGGTGTGGATGTGCGTATGAGTGTGAGTTTGAGGTGTGAATATGACTACAGTGTGAAAGTCAGTATGGGCTTTCTCCTTGTTCACCAAGACCGACATGCAGATCGCACAAGCATTCGCACACTCACTCACACCCACACCCTCGTCAGTAGGAGACCGCACATTTATTCTCGACCTATAACTGAACACATAGTCCTAGCTTCACACTTTAAAAAAAAGCACAATAAAACTATTTTTTTAAGTATGCAATTTGTTTTAATTAGGATTCAATTCTAATGATATGTCAATAGATAAGGACATGGTTGATTGTTTCTGCGTTGACACTTTGAATGCATCCACATATACACCAGTTGTATCTACTAGAATGGTTCAAACACAACATAATGAATGATTTCTATATTAGACTCATTGGAACTGACATTTTAATTTCGAAGCCTAGCTACATGACTATTAATACAGAATTAGAACTTGTGCTTTATATCTAATCATTATGGGACATGACGACTTCTTTTTGGAGCCAATTGACTTAAAATCATTAATAGAGTAGTTCGATCGGTAAACAACGAAACAGCGAAGTAAAATTCTTTTGAAGCCAAGTCTGATTAAATGACTAAAGAACCACTTTGTCTGACGCGATATCGAGCTGATGAATGAACCACCTTTCAGAAATGGACAAAATAAAAAGAAATTCCTTTAGAGATTCAATTAATGAGGATAACGTCGATTACACACCGTTGAAAGTTTAATCATAAAATTCAATTTCGTTCGCTCACAATTTTTATACTCGTCATGACTTGCACTCGAATAGCAACATGAAATTCTCACATTCTATTATTCAACTCATTGCTATTAATCATTTTCGAGAGCGCTACTTATTTAGCTATAACTTTGAAATATGACTCATCACCTGTCAGGTGAGCATGCACGATAAAGTAATTCATTGTACTTTAACATCTGTAACGGTCACTAAAAAAAATCGGGTTTCTTTTTTCTCGCTTGTTCGTTCCTCCTTTCCTTCATCCATATTTGCATAGCACGTTAGTGTCGTTTCGTTGAGTACTGCAAGAAAAAGAACACTCCATTTGTAATTCTAATGCATTATGTTCATTTAGGTTTAAATTTGTTGAACATATTCATCACGATCATATAGTAGACAAGCACAGCTTGAAGTACGCAACTAATACAGCATTAATATTTCTACTATAAATGAGCAGTGCTTGGTATATAAATGAACCTATTCCACCGAAAGATGAAAGGTTAGTGTACGCTCATGGCACAGTTATGGTTCTTGCTTGGATACTCTTGGCCTCTACAGGTATATTATTTGCACGTTACGGACGTCTACTACGAATTGGTACAAGACGAAAACTACTTGGCAGTATGATTTGGTTTCAAATTCATCGATTAATTCTTTGTCTAGTTACGATCACAACATTGCTTGGTTTCTTTCTCATTCTAGTAAACGAAAATGGCAAATGGGTGAGTGCTGACAAAGATGGACGTCGTATTTTCGCTCATTCCGTGCTCGGTGCTATTATTGTATGTTGTACTTTATTACAAGCCTGGATTGCATTGTTTCGTTGCCGTCCAGATAGTCCATATCGTTCAATTTTTAATTGGCTCCATCGAAGCATGGGATATTTGCCATTTTTTCTTTCTATACCGACTATTTTTCTCATCGTAGTTGAACCAAAAGCACTACCTATGGAACGGGGTGGTTTCATTGCTATTCTTTCGATTTGGTCTGCCTGGATTGTTCTTGTTGTTATTCTTTTTGAAGCTGTGGAATATCGTGCTCGTGTAAAATCGACGTCCGGAGTATATCGAGTTGGTCGAAATCAACTGATTGATCAAACTTTGCCACTGAGAAAAAAAATGACCAATGACGATAGCACGGATAGCCAGTCTTTGAACAAGACTAAACTCTATTTATTTCTTTTACATATTATTGTGGCTGTTTCTTTAACTATTTCACTCATTGTTCTTATTTGGCGACAGACATAGCTACATATATATCCTATCGACGTTCAATTCATTCAATCCAAATATTGACTCATAGTGATCGAATAAATGTTGCTCAGCTAAATTTGATTTTGTTTTCAATATAATAAATTTAGATCAGTGAGACAAATGAATCATCCAATGACAATCCTAAACATTTGAGTAACGTGGAAGTAGAATGTGAGTTTGTAGGTTTGGACCGAGTAGTCTAAAAGCGAATGAAGGCAAGACTCACATGCATGTTCATACCTTCACACACACACAGTGCTATGAAAATGGCGACAAATCAGGTAGATGCAGATGTGAAGCAAAATGGCTTGTTCGTTTGCAATACCTTATTTCGTGTATTGTTTTTTTTCAACAGGGATGTGATAATAGATTTGCTTTATGCATTCCTTTCTGATACTGAATGTATAAGTTATAAAAACATGTTGCTTGCACATTGTTTTATAATGTCTTTGTACTTCACAATTTAGAATCTTGATTTTATCGTGCGTCATATAAGTTACAATTCACTAAACATGGACAAAATGTGTAAAAATAAAAATACAACACAAAACAGAAACACTCCAATCGCGAGTAAGTTGAGTGAAAACAAAATTTTTGAGATGAAAAAAAATAGTTTTCAACTATGTGATGACTGTTTCAGTAAATTTGTCAGACATTGTTTGATCCTGTCGTTGAAAATGAAAAGTCTACACTATTTCAATTCCAATGAAGAGAGAATGACTAATAAAAGTAAGTTACTTTGATACCGCATTGTTTCAGTATTGACCAACAAAAGTCCAGTTCTTATTAATCGCACATTGAGCATGTTGTACACAGACTGCTGAGTACCCGTTCTTGCGATAATCATCAACACGATTTGCTTCGACATCATTTTTGTAATACATCATTGTCGTCGGAATTGTACCACACTTGTAGCATTTGAGTTGACCTTTTGGAATATGATTTTCTAGGCCAAACGATAAATTATGATTCGTCTTCAAATTTTCAAACTGACTATTGATGTCATTTATCTTGTTTTTCAATTCTTCTAATTTACTAATTTCATGCTTAAGACTCGACTCAATTAGATTCAGATTTGTTTGAATCAACCGGAAATTTTTCAGAAATGTCAGCGTTTCTTGACGTGCTCTTTCACTATCGCCAAATAGTTCATATTTTTGTATAACGATATGCATTTCATTATTCAGTCGAACTAAATCTGTGTAATTTGAACAAGAGTAGCTTATTTTATCGTTGAATATATCAGGAATGACGATTATTGGAATTGATGAATTCCATGAATCAATTATTGTATTACCATGTTCTTCCACTTGTCTTTCAGTAACATCAAACTTAAAACAGTTATTTACCATTGATTGAGTGATATTATACTGAAACCTATTGACAATGCTTCTACCATTGATACGTTTAATTATTTCGCCATTTTCGTTTTTTAAAGTTTCAGCTTGCTGTAGAATATCACCCAACGTTTGCCGATTTTCATAAGTTGTCATAATTTACAGGTGTATCTGGATGAATAGAATCAGTTTTTATTGATGCTTACAAAGTATCTATACAAATTTATTTTCCGTATTTTTTTATTGGTAAAATGGATATGATATTCAGATCACCTGATAAGTATTTGAATGTTGATGCAAATGTGCTGGTGAGACGTGGACGAGAATTTTTTTATTCTCAACACCGAAGTCATCCTTATCTTACTCCTTATTATTCTTCGAAAAAAAAATATACGAAAACCAAAATAAGCTTTTATATTGAAGTAGGAAATCAAATTTTAAACATGGAGGGTGTGATGAGGTGAGTGTGGGTGCGATACGTATCAGAGTGAATAAACCTAGGTATCGATTGTAGTCTTATTCTTAGCTTCGTCTATCGATCCTCAACAGGTACTTATACTTGTCGAACAAAGAAGGCTCGTTGTAGTTGATAGAACAATTAATGGTAAAGCTAGAGCAGAAATCTTTCTTAAGAATGAAGCAGGGACATGTTTTAACAATGGCATAGAGTGAAGCAAATGAAACTTGAAGTTTTCAAGAATTTAACTTTGAATTCGTGTTCGCAAATTCACTCTAATGATTAGTTTTACTATAACATTTTTTTGTTTTCACTTCGTCAAATTATAATTTCTCGTTTGTTGTATTGATTGTTATTTATAAATGCATTACATGAAGATTCTTTAAAACCGAATCATTATTTAGGATTTATGAATATACAAAATCAGGCCGATCTCAAGATTTTTGCACAAAATATTATGCTGACCACTTTTAGAAAAATTAATAGATAGCGCTCATTAGCGACTCGGTCAAAATGGAAAATATTAAAATGGTCAACATTATGGACCAATGAGCTGTAGTTTTTCTACAACATGAAACTTCCATATTTTACCAATACTCAATCCTTTTGGTCCGCCATTACAACTCTCCCGATGCCTCGATTTATTTCGCCGCATTTTCCTTAACTTGGCACGACACAAGACGAACATATGGCTCAATAACGTTGTAAGCTATTATTCATTTTTATGTGAAAATATCTTTGCAACTGATTTAGCTATAAGACAGCGTAAACAAGTGCGCTAGCATATTGATTGTAGAAATCAAGCGATGAATCATCCCCGCCAGCTAGTAGTAGTAGATCCAAAGAAGAATGTTGCTTGAAATTCATGCATATAATTTTTTAGGCATATGTCTGATGGTTATAATTAACTAAAACTAATCATTCAAGTTAATGTTTGTGAGATTTTGATATTTTTGAACAGTGAGTTTTTAAAGGTTTTGAAACTGAGTATTAGTCTTATACATCTCTGAGTTTATTGTTAAGATATTTCACAGTTCAATTCTGTCACAACCGTTTATGCTCTTTTTAATTTTATCTGAAGATTCAAAATAAAATAATATCAGAAAAAAAAAAACAATAAAGAATATGAAACGTTTGTCAGTATTTAGATCACTATTAGAGAAAAACTATATGATTTAGATAGCTTTTCGAACTAAACTGCCTTTCAGTTTTCCTATTTAAAAAAAAAAACATTCTAAAAAAGAAAGAAAAGTAAAGAAATTTAATATAGCGGATCAAAGAGTTCTCTCCAATGAAGCAATAATAAATTATAGAAAAATCTCTTGTTCGAGATTCGTATTGCAATACTTTATCTGGTATACTTTAAACCATTCATTTTTGAAAATTCAATAGGTGTGATACCTGAACACTAAGGTTGATGAACATCTATATCATAACAAACAGATGATCATGGATGTAGAAATACTTTAGCATCATTTTCAATATATATTTTCTCACTCGAAATTTACTAATATTTAGATAATAATATAAAATGAATAGAAGATTTCGATGTGGTCGTTTGGTCTTAACAAAAAATGGTTTAATTAAAAAGGTTGAACTTGAAGATGGTGGTGGTACTCGGTTTTGTAATTGGGAGCCGATCAATATGGACTTTGAAGATGTTCATCATCGCTTACTTAATATTTTTAGTTTAGGTGAAATGAAAAATATTTGAAAAATTTAATATTTAAAATTCTATTGATTGATATTAAAGGCGAAAGTAAAAGTAAAACATTATTATATGATTTCCAACGTCAACCATTCGATACTACTCAATATAAAACATTTTTGGAATATTTTAATAAGAATGGTCTAAATTGTAATAGTACAGTTATATATATTTGCATTGATCAAGGTTTATTGAATTATATTCTCATTAATATTTTTATATAACTATCTTTTTCTTTCAGGTGCTGATGATGATAATTCAACGACATTAACAAGAATCAAAACACCATCAAAGTCAGATTCATTAAATCCACAACAAAAGTAATGGAAATCTCGAATAATATATATTTTTTTTTAATTTATTTTAGTAGAATATCTATACAATCAGAAGCTACATCTACAATAACACCAGTTAAAAATAAATATGTTGATAAATATGAAGAGTCGGATCAAGAACAAACTTTTCGGTAAGATATCTTTTTCTTTTTTTTCTTTTGTATATTGAAATGAAAGAAAATTCTTTTTTTAGATCTTCATCTGGTAATTAATTAATAATTGTCAATTTATTTAATAAAGTTGTTTTATATTTAGTATATACATTTGAAAATTCAATTAATGATTTAGTGAATAATATTCACAGCCTTATTAGTCAAATTGGTTTTGATGAAACTTTGATTCAACTATTTGAATCTATATGTATAGTTCGTGGATATATTCGTTCAGTCATTAATCCATTACAACAACAAATAAAACACTTGAACGAAAATTTCAAATTAATTAATAAATCTGAAATGATATTATATTCAAACTGTTTAAATAATGTTTCTGATATATGTCAATCAATAGAAACATTAATTAAATCAAATAAGAAAAAATTTGATCATATTGAACAATTTTCAATGATTGTATATTCATTTTTCAAACTTTATGAAAATTTAAAGGTATTTACTTGTTTTAAGTAATAGAAAGAATAGAATATACTTTACCGAACCGTTACCAACTCATTGTTCATCCTTGAAAACTATTAGGAAATATTGAAATAAATAAAACTAAATATTTCATACTTTGTTTGAACAAAAGAGAGACAGGAGAATTCATGGGTCTATGAATTTCATCAAACGTTGCAGATGTCTTAGATCTTCTTCACTTTTATAGATATTTTTTAACCACTGAAACTGATTAGATTTTTTTCTGAGAATTTCCTCGTAAACTCAGTGAGGTTCTACTATTGGAGACGTAAAAATCGATATCTCTACCATATCCTAGCATAGATATATTGATATGTGCATAATTGATATAATGAAATAAATATATACAAATGACAATGGAAATATGATAGACATACGACATAGGCCGATGCTCTTGTGTGGATGTTGCTATAAGAGATGAAAAAGAAAGAGAAAATAAGTTTAAGTGTATTCAACTAACTGAATAATGTAGTCAATCACTCAGCATTGGTTTAATATTTCTATCGTCTGTAAAATACTGAATATCGTTTGTGTTTATATAATTACTTGAATAGATTCACTTGAAGATCATTTGGAGAGATAGAGATGTACGACTATTTCTTCAATATCTCCTATACTGGGATTTCATTGAGTTTTCGAAAAAATCTACAGAAGAGAACATACACTGAAATTCTATTTTTTTTTGTCTCGATTAAAAGAGTACTTTTTACAAGACAATTGATTTTGTGTAGTATATAATCGCTTGTTGGAAAAAAACAAACAAGTAATGTGTTTCATGTCGTAGAAATCTTAAAATGTTAAAGACGACATATTTCATCTTGAAACTTCCAATAATATATATGAAGAGAAGAAAAATAATACCAGAAGCACGTACACTACTTTATAGAGTTTCTATAAGAAGTATATCTCATAATAATACTTGAAAAACGAAACTCTTATCAATCATCAATGTTTTATTATCCATTAGTACGATTTAAGAATCAGTACTAATTAATTTCAAGATATTAGGATAATTTCAGGCGATTCCGAAATCTTTTTTTGTTTCTGCATTAGAAATCTAATTAATAGAAATGATTATTAATTAGTGTCATTTGAGGTAGTGCCCTTGTAATTATATATTCTAAAACAGTACTAAAGAATTTTGATTTCAATACATTACTTCTCATTTGTTTTCAATGTATTTAAATACGCGCAAAATAGTCAAATATTTTGTCGAGAAATTTTCCACCCATCTCTTATTTCTAGTAATTTTCTCTTTAGATTCTATACAATCAATGGTTTGAGTGTGTCGAAAAAAGTAATAACAGATCTAATATACCTTCATCTTCATTCATTCATCCAGTTGAATCAATACCATCACCATCTTCTCATTCAAATATACAAGTGTCAACTAAAGATCATTATGAAATAAATGAAGAAAATTCTAATAAACGATCACAAACATCATTGCCACCATCTCGTCAAACATCGTCATCATTAGCTCGAGAACCATCCGATGATGAAACTGATGAAAAATTTCGTTTATTTCGACAAGTTAGTTAATCTAAGTTTAACATTACTTTTTACATTCTTTTTTTGTTGTTCTATTTAGTTATTTAGTCGTTTAAGTAATTTATTTCATTTACTCACTAGTCAAGCTTTACTATCATATAGTGAAATGGTTGACTTAACAGTCCACGAACTAAAATCTTTACGATCAAATTTAGAACTATGCAATTATAATTCAATACTTGATGCAAAAAAACAGATTTTATCAATACGAGAGAAATATTATAAAGAATTTAGTGAATATTTTTCGGAAGACTCTAAATATAAAACTAGTGCACAAGTTACAAGAGCATATGATTTTATAATGAAAGCAATTCAGCGTTTATTAGGATCACTTAATGATTATCAATCACAATTAGAGAAAAATAATGAAAAAAAAGAATCACATCGACCGTCAACTTTTTCATCGAAAGACAGCCAAAAACAATATCAACATAATAATTCAATGCAATACTTTAAAAGAAAATCAGCAAATTTTCATATTCATAACAATAATAAAAGACTAACTGCATCATATTCATCGATTGAATATCGAACTTACGTAAAAAACGATCGACGAAGAAATGAAAGAAAACAATATAGCTTTCAATAAATTCATCTACTGATTTGTTTTTTGTTCCATTGAAAGATTTTGTTGTGTTTATTCCGTTTTTTATATAAAAAGAGGAAATAAAAATGAAGCCAAAGATAGAACATTATCTTTTTCAAATATTTCAATCCTCTTTTTTTTTTTTTACATAATATTCATTGAAAGAACACTTTCATATTTTATCTTTTTCTCTCTTACAGCGCATCTTTCTACTTGAAAGTTAGAAGATTCACTTTTAGAGAATGATTCATCAAAAAATTGTGAAAGTTTTTCGATACATCGATCTTGATATGTAGAGCATGAGTTGCTATAGACAAAATCAGGAATTCCAGAAAATCAAAACACTAGTTGTTTAGTATCTAGAACGAGTGAATAAAACTTTGCTTACATTAAATATAATGGTAGAACAAATAATTCTCTACAAAATGAGATGGCTCCGAGATAGATTAATCTTACAGAAGCTCCTAAAGTCATTTTTTTTTCTAATCTTCTATAGAAAAATCGTCTTTTAGTCTTCAATCACATTTCTGTATCTTAGCTCAAAAAAATTGCAGAGAACTCGATGATGTCTCATTTTGTAGAGAATGTTTTACTCTATCGTTTTACATAGACTAAACAAAATTATACTTACATGTTCTATATACTGAAAAACTAGTGATTTGGTTTTCTGAAGTCACCATCTTTGTGACTCTGATAATAATTTTTATTTTCTTGTATTCTTATTGGAAACGTTTTTTTTTAATATTCTAATCACTATTTGCATTTTTTCTAATCTTACAGCTGCAGAAAAAAAAAACATTGGAAATAACTCATGTTGAATAATAATAGTACTTACTGTATATACAATATTCCTATATTATCGAGTTTTGCTTGTTACTGAATATAAACTCATGACACAATATGAACGTTTAACAATATCGAACTTTTTTCTTGTTTTTATTTTTTGTTGTATGTGTTTGAAAAATCACAGACAAAACAAGAAGAAGATACACAAAAAAAAAGAGAGAGAGAGAGAGAAGACACACAAGGAAAATGACAAATACATACAGATATCATAAGGTTTTTTTTTTGTTGTGTTTTCATATTATAAAAGAGAGAAGTTTACTTTCAAGTACATCTTTTTGTTTAACTTAAATGGACTTGATATTTGTACATAACAGAAACGCACTTCATTTCATCGACTATCTCTTTTTCTTTTTGTCTTAGTGAAAGAACAAAAAAAAAAATGTAAGAATACACAAATTCATACACTGAGACCAAAAGAAAACCATCGGACAGACAAAAAAGAACAAGACAGAAAGAAAAACAAATCATTTGCTGAGACCGTGTCGTTTAGCTTCAACTTCATAGACAATTAATCGCCACATTTTAACAACAAATACTTCTGCTTCATCATCAAGTACAACACGTATATCAGATAAGATTGTTTCAGCACTTTTTTTTGACATTATTGATGAACAAATGAAATCTGTTAATGTTATTTCTTCTTCACCAATATATTCAACAATTTTTTTTGTTACCCATGGTTTAATACGTTTTTCCATTAGATTCTTTAATTTATAAAAAAAAGAGATAATTAGATTTTTAAAGAAACCAAAAAAAAAAGAAAAAATACATACGGAATCGAGAAGTGACCATTCGAGTGGATAATTAAATAAATCTTCTTTTTTTGTTGGAATACTTTCAATTAATTTACGTACAGCTTGACGTTTTTCTTCTTGTGATTGAGTAGAATTAGCATTTGTTGTTGGAGTTACAGGTGTCGGTTTACTTGATGATATTCGATTACTTTGTTCATCTTTAATATGTGTTACATTATGAGAAGTTGGAGTAGTTTGTTGATCAAGTATTGCAGATAATTTTGATTTTTTCTGAAAATTATTTGTATTATCATCATCTTGATCATCACGAAAAACCTAAACATTTTATAGAAATATTTCATTGTATCAATCTATTAAAATAAGACTTACTTCATTAACAGCTAATTTTCGTTTTGATGGTAATTTTGTACCACTTATTGGAGCACCACCAAGAGCAGATGTTTGACGAGGACTACTTTTAATTTCTAAATAAAAGAAAAATAAAAGTCATTATTCATATAAAAATTGATTAAATATTCTACAAACCATTTTGTGGTAAATTTATTATTGGTGGTGATTGATCCATATTTTCAGTACCTAAGAAATAAAATCATATTTATGCTTAAATAGCCTTCATGAGACCACCGAGTATACAAGATACTAGATAAAAAAGTTCCTGTTATAAAAAAAAATTTTAATAAATCGTGATTTAGTATTTTTCTATTAAAGAGTATCGGAAGCTACAATTTTGAGTTTGTTTGTTTCAGACATCGATACATTAAATGCAGAAAAAAAAAATTTTTTTTATCGACTATTTCGTATACTTTTGATGGTCTCATAATACTTCTCTTAATATTTGTCTTACTAGTATTAGTTGATTCAATTGATGGAAGAGTAATATCTTTTCGATTATTTGTTGATTCATCTTCATTATCTGATTCGTCCGTAGATTCATCACTTGTAGTTCGTGTAAGATCAGCTAAACGTTTACGTATTAATTCTTCTTCTTTTTCTAAACGTCGTTTTATTTCTAATTCAATATCATCAATATTATCTTGAAGTAATAATTTTTGACGTAATTCTTCAATTTCTTCTTTTTCATGATGTCTATCACGTTTATCAGTTTCAATTTCATGTTCACGATCTTTTAAACGACGAGCTAATGGTGTACCTCTACATAGAAAATAGTTTATTATTCATTAAGTCAATGGAAATAGAGAAAAGAATAGTCTTACTTATAATATTTCGGATCATCATTTTCATCATTATAATCTTCGAGAAATGCCAATAAACGTTTGCCTGCTTTTTCTTCATCATGTAATCGACTTAATTCACGACGTTTTTCAAGTTCATAATCTTCTTGCTTTTTTCGTTCACGTTGTTCCCAGGCTTTCAATCGCTAGAAAATAAACATCATATTATATAAGGTTAAAACAAAAGGATTCAAATCATTTACTTATTCAAACCCTTATGTGCACATATTCAATTTTCATAGATTTTTACATTCAATAAATTAACCTTTTCGGTTTGGATAGATGACTTTTTTTTCTAGACTTCAATCCTAAACATCGTTCTAATAAACTCAAACTCAATGCAATCAATTTCGTCATACGAAAAATGGTATACAGCTGTTTTTATGAATGTTAAGCATCAATACATGTGAACAAGAAGTTATACCCATTAAACTAAATACATATGAGTTTAAAGTATTCAAATCGATGTATCAAGTAAGATACTAATAATTGATATAATTTTTTTTAAATAGTATTATTCTGATAAATATAAGACGCGTAATCATCAAAGTCACTGGATTCACTAATATTCTGTCTTTAAGAGTTTCTAATAAAATGGGTAACATATTTTATCTCAAGTAATAGAGCAATCAAAAGTCCTGTGAAGTTATTCGACTGACTTATGTAAGAGACATCATGAGCTTACATGAAAGTGTTCTACAAGTTCACTATACGATTTCAGTAAAACTAAGACATTTGGTTGGATGACAGCAAACTCTTTTCAATCGCTCGAAATGTTCTTGTTCCTGCGTTCCTTTTCCCGTTGGCTATAAAACTCATCATTTATCCGATCATGTAATTTATATTCGCAAAAAACTATTGAAGACGAACAAAAACATATATATTTCGAGTGTAGACTAGGGTTTTTCTTCTACATACAATATATTCCTAGGTTCGATGATATTAGATAGTTTATTTGAAATACGAAATAAATAATTCTTTCAATAGACGCTCGTAATAATTTTCAAATATGTAATCATGATAACTACATATCATTTTCTATTAGTTTATGTAAAATATGTTATTCATCGTACTAAAAACAATGCTTCACGACAGAATACTAGACAATCTCGCTTATTATATTTATCAGACGAGGCAAATTACCAAACTGATTAATTTCTTTTGAGTCGGTATAATATTAGTTTGTTGCTGTCGAGACTCCCCTCAGGAGCATCAGGAAAACTGATTTTTGAAGTTCAACGTGAAATTTAATACAGAGACAGGTTCTAACAAGAGTAGTTTATTGTGAAATTTTCAAATGTTTTGATGTATTCGTATTCTGAAAACTATTCAATCTGTTACAATATATGATTGATCTAAAAGGGCACGCTTTTAACATAGCTATATCTTAAAATATGCACAACAACAAGATCTGAAACTTTAAAGAAAAAACCTTATTCTCGATAACACTCATTTGAAAAACTAACACAGTCTCGACTCAAAAGTGAATAAACAGTTGAAGAACTCTCCTCATGAGCAATACATAAAAGAAATAATATCAACCAATAATATGTCATTTAGCACATTGACTTAAATACTTGAAATTCATAAAACATATAACTAAATGAATGTGACTTCTCATTTACATGTAAATAGTGTTTTATTCAGATTTTCTCTTCCGAAATGACCACTTAAAACTTTCAAAGAGTCAATCTGTTCTTTGGAAGAGCACCTCTCTCACTCGCTAAATAAAATATTATATGTAAACTAATGTTTATGGAAAACTAGAATTTCTAAAATATCTACGTACGATTATAATCTATAACACTCTCATTTGAATAATTAATTTGACTTACTTCTCGATAGCGAAATTCTTTTTCGCGTAATCTTCGTTCTTGTCGTCTTCTTTCATAAGCTTCATCATCATCTTCATCATTAGAATGCATTTTTGGTAATGGTGATTTTGTTCTTGAACGACGATTATATGAACGTGATGATAAATCAGGCGAACGACGATCATAACGTGATGGTGGTGGACTACGTCGATCACTTGTACGACTACGAACAGAATTGCTTGTATTATTTCTTGATAATGAACTACGATAACGATCGTCACTAGGCGATGAACGATCACGTCGATTTGAACTACTACGATCATGTTTTGGTGATGAACGATCACGAGATGATGATG